TCTGTGTGTGTGTGTCTGTGTGTGTCTGTGTGTCTTTGGGCTGTGTTTGGGTTCAGTGCTGGATCTTCTGATGCCTCTTGAGGTTGCTGGGGTGGGAGAAGCGGCGGTTGCAGACGGAGCAGCTGAAGGGTCTCTCCCCGGTGTGCACGTTGCGGTGGATATCCAGCTGGCTCTGGCATACAAAGCTTTTGCCACACAGCAGGCAGGTGTAGGGTTTCTCCCTGGTGTGCCTGGCCATGTGCTTCTGCAGGTCCGACTCCATGAAGAAGCGTTTGGTGCAGATGGTGCAGCCGTACGGACGCTCCATTGTGACGGCCTGGTAGAAGGACAGAGGGAGGGCTTTGTGTTGGCCCGCGGGGTGGTGTAAAGTCAGGAGGTGCGTGTCGCTGCAGGAGTTGGTGCTGGAGGTTCCTGGAGGGTGAGGAAGAACAGACCCGTCTCCGGCTGAGCACAGACCCGAGGACCGAGTCTGGGGTGACATCGCGTCCTTGTGTCCGTCCCGTCCTCTGATCTGTTCTCTGGTTGTCTGGACTGCATCTGACGAGTCACCCCCCTCCCCTGCGCTCTCCTTGTCCGATGCCCCCCCCCTATCAATGACGATCACTTCTGGCAGCGGGCACTTGGTGGGCTCCGATGCCGCCTGGTTATCTTTGCTGTCATCCTCACAGGAAGCTGCACCCAGCGCGGTGTCAGGCCGACGCTCCCCTGCTCCGGTCTGCTGCGGCTGGGAGCTGTGAAAAGTGTCGCCGCCCTCAGTCTCAGCCGTCCCACCGTCAACAAAGCCGACGACGTTGGATCCACTGACCTCTTTCTCCCTCAGGTGTCTGGATGTCTGGCTGACGCCGAGCGACGTAGCAGTGATGGAGGCAGCGTCTCGTCTCGGCAGCTTGTGGTTAACAGACACAGCGTCCACCGCTCCCTCCACCTTGACGATCAGCAGCTCGCCCTCCCCCTCAGGCTCTGCTGACTGAGAGGACACACCCACTTTGAGAACAACACTGTTCTTCACATCAAACTCTTTCAAATGTAACCATCACAACACAAGTAGAACAAATAGTTACACAGTAACGTGTCACACATATAAAAACTGTTTCCAGAGCAAAGCTGCAGCTCGTCTGCAGGAATCCGACTGATGCTTCCACAAACCCACCACCATGTTTTGTTTCTGGTTTCAGAGCAGGACAAAGGCCCATTTTCACAGGCAGACGGGTAACTACACTGTGCACATTTTAAATATTAGGACTGTTTATTGGTTTGCAGTGAATGACGACAGTCTGAAGCCCACAGGCATCAGCAAATACTGTGTTTCCTCCCTGAGACGTTGTGCTGCTTCTCTGCTGCGCCGTCATCCTCCAGATATTTATGGACCAACATTAGATTTCTTATTCACGCTCAACAACGACAAGAACACTTTTCACTCTAAATGAGGGAGATGTTGGCCACGTGACAGCAGCAGCGAGCTGGAGGACGCTAACAGCAGAGCTGTGGACAGGAAGTGAGGGGAGCTGCACAAACAGACCCTCACATATTTTGCCAGTGAAGAAATGTGGCTTGGAAACAGAGACGTGAGCATTTCCACCGATCCATACAGGCTTCTGCTCAATGCAGACACATTAGCTCCTGCAGGTG